CTTGTTACTAGTAGCTTATTGTTTCTAATTTATATATTGTTTCTAATAGCTTCTTGTTACTACTAGTAAGGCATTTGTTGCTAGTAGCGATGCACTTGTTACTAGTAGCGTCCTTGCCCTACTGTCAATGCGGTTCCAAATCAGAATGGATGCAACCTGATGCAAGCCCGCCGATGGTGCTGAGTAACATCCCAATTTTCCATCTACACTTGTTTGTTACCAAACTTCAACGTGCATGCTTACTCTCTCCGTATTGTCTTTGTTGCATCCTCTTCACTTCCATTCCCCAAAACAAGACAACCAACTAAAGCATCTAAAGCCTCTTTCTGTTGTCCTCTTCTTGTCTCGACGCTGCCCTCGGAGCCCACCCCAGGAGTGCCGCAGCCTGGCGGAGCTCCGGTGGCGCTTCGCGGAGAAGCTGAACTCGCAACCGCTTTGCCTCGATGCGGTGGATCTGATGCAGGACGTGACTCGCGGGTGGCCAGTCTGACCGTCTTTTTGCACTGGGAGGTGCAGGGCAGGGCGAGGACGGGGGGGGTATGGGATGCCAAGTTATGCCAAGAAGATGGGGCATGGGGATAATGGGGATAATGGGTATTTGCCGTGACGCGGAAGATGCCTCCGGTTCGGTCGGAGGCTGGTCGCCCCTTTTCTGTCGAGGTTGGTGAAGTTGAGTGGATTCCTTCTCCTTTGATTGTCCAGGCTGGTTTTCATTTGCGTTTTCTGCGTAATTTGTCGGGTTGGTTGGCTACACTCCGTTGGTCGCTTTCTACAGTTGATGAGGAGTGTTGGGAGATTTCTTGGCTGGAACTATTCTGGCAGTGGGTTTCTGACTCCGGCACCCTTCCGCCTGTGTTGGTTGATGGTAGATGGGTTGATTCGTTGGACGCTCCGGACGTTGTGTGTTGTCTGCCTTGTGTGCGTGTTCTGTTTGCTACTTGGTGGCGCGGTGTCAGGTGTCTGCGGGGTTTGTTGCCGGGTTGGGGCAATGTTTCTGCGACGGACTCTGGTGTGGCTTTGGGTTCTGCCTTCGCGTTGTCTGGGTGCTCTGGTCGGGTTGCTCTCTCTTCTTGGGTGGCTGCCGACTTGCGGTCTCAGTTTGGGGTGGCGCGTTCGCTCGGCTCGCTCCGTCTGCCACATTTTTGGTCTCCGTGATTGTATTTTAGTGTTGTGTGGCCCGCGAAACTAGCTTGCCACAGAACATGCTCGAGATTCGAGTGAGTGAGAGAATAAAAAAGAATAAAGGTCTAGTAAGGATCATGGATCTGAATCTGCAGCTCTGTGAAGATCTGTGAAGAACATCACAAGCAAACCCACAGCAACAAGCAATTTTCAGGTTGTCAGCTCCATGACGCTTACAACTCAAGAGCATTGGTGGACTCGCTCATCCATGCACTTCCTGCACGAAGCCCCTGCACCAAACCGCAGGATGGCCTTTCGCCCGCCTTCTACCTGAGCAATCGTTTTCTGCTGTTGGATCCTCCGGGCGACGGCCCCAGCGGGGGCAGCTTGCTGAAAGCCATCGACCACATCTTGGAGCAGCTGACGCCCGAGCGCGCACGCTATCGGGTCTTCGCCAAGGACGTGGCCCCCCAAGCAAAGCGAGAAATGGTATGGAGTGCCGTATCGACAGACCGAGATTCCGAAAAGTGTTCTGCAAGGCTGGAGATTGCTGGATTTGTTCATTGCTGGACACTTGTAAGATCTTGTAAGAGAACATGCTTGGACCTGGGTGTAACTTTCATTTTCAAAGTTTGTTGAAGTCTAAGATCCAAGTCTATCCAAAGCTCCCAATATTCTCTTGACGTTGTCTGGGTTGAAGTTCCAAAGTTGCTTCCCTACTTGTTGCCAGATCTTCCTTCCACCAAGGTCCACCCCTTCACCCTCGTTCGCCCGCGTTCCAGGGTGGAGCAAAGCACCGATACTTCCGGGCTGGCATGTGCCAGACCCCAACAAGTCCCTTGTGCATCCTTGTGCTCCGAGACGACTGACCAGACCCGTCGTTGGGTGTGGGATGGCGTGGGTTGTTTGGAAAACGTCGATTGTCTAGAGGAGCCCATGATCGCGCCAGGTCCGGATTTGGAGGGAGGAGTGTTGTACTGTACAGCTTCTTGACTTTAAGAAGTCAGTTAAGCTGATTGCTGAGCATGTGCAGTTTTTCTGTTTTCTTTTCTTGAGTTTGTTGGGAGGTGCCCAAACTTTTCCAACACTAGGAGCACGGCGCAGGAAGAACAGAATGCCTGGAACGTTTCCCAAGGCTTCCCACGCATCGCACAAGTTTGTTTCAGGCCTCTAGTTTTGTCAAATACTCGTAGGACCAAACTTGTATTTCATCCGCTCGAAGTATACAAGCGCGCAATCCAAGCGCGAAGATTTGCGTGATAGCGACGCCCAAAGGCATCATCTTATGTTGGTGATTTGTGTCAATTCGGGTGGCTTCCCCTCGCACTTGTTTCCCACACATGTTAAAGATTGTTTAAGTACTCGCGAACTCGGCGATTTCAGCTAGCACTCAAAAGAGTCACAAGAATACAAATTGTATTGAAGTTCAGAGACCAATGGCGAGAGGCAAGGTCCGGTCCCAAGCCTTCCAATGACGAAAAATACGCATTATATCATTAAGGACCCTGAACATAATTGACATAGGGCTCTGGGAGATTACTCTTTAAAGCAGTGGGTGAACAGGGGACAACAGTGGATTTGCAGTCAGCTCGTTCAGGTTCATCCCTCAGAACTTCGCACTGGCCTGGCCACAGCAGGACCGCATCAAAGCTGCTGCGTTGCCACCAGAGCTGATCCGGAACGATGACGCTTGGCAGCCGCAGACGGGTTCAGGAGAAAGGGAACAGTCCGTAAACATACTCGTAGAGACTCATCAAGGATTCTGTATCCTTTCACTATTGATATAGAATCGAGCCTTCAATGACCCGTTTTTGACCCACAGCATCTGACTCGCCCGTTGTTTAATCACCCGTTAGAGAAGTAGATGCACAGGTACTAGTCTGGAGAGCTTGGGATCTGATCAACAATGCAAGCGAGTTGGAATAAGTGTGGTATTACACGCTTGTTCGAATTCTATGCCGCAGAGGCAAACGAGTCACCCATTTGAGGAGCGATGGCGGGTGTTCTTCAAGGCAGACAGGGCTTTTGGCATTCCAAAGGCCACTTGCATCTTGCAGTGTTGGTTTCCCGACCCTTCGGAAGTGAAGAGCAACACGCCGGCCTCCAGCATCAGCACGGCCGAGGACGGAGCGCGCTCCGCTGGATCTGTGGAAACTGTTCGTGGGCTGACGTCTTGGGAGACGGATTATTGTTTGTAATTTATATTGTTTCTATTAGCTTTTTGTTACTACTAGTAAGGCACTTGTTACTAGTAGCGTGGCACTTGTTCCTACTAGCGTGGCACTTGTTCCTAGTAGCTTCTTAGCCAGTCGAGGTTTTCAATTCTTTCTCCTGTGCTGCTTTGCCCTACACCTGATCCGATGGTCCTTCAGCCGCTTTGTGGTCATTGGTCTCAACCTGGCCAATGACATTGACACCTTTGATCCATCCATTGTTGATTCATAGAGGAATTCGTCTGTCTCAAAAAAAAAAGCAGGACCGACCTTCCTTTTCCGGACCCAAATCAAGAGCGCCAACTTTGCTTGTGTCCTCAGAGTCGTGTCCCCCAACCTCCTCCCTCAGGGCCGAGTGCTTGCTCGCTTGTGGCAAGCCTCCCTGGCGGATCGATTGACCGAAGAGTACTACGCCGCGCGTCTGGCTGGGCTGGCCGCCAACTGTGCCAGCACGGTCGCGGGCATCTCGTTGTCCTTCAGCGGATATAGCGATCCTTGGGACATCAATTGGCAGAGTTGGCCGGGGTGGCTTTTTGCATGTGGACGAGGGTGGGACAGGGTGTTGTAGTCAAGCAACCGCTGCAGTTGTTCCTGCTAGTGACTGCTACCGCTGTGTTTTAGTGCCTAAAGTCCACTGGCGGTCTGTTCTTTTCGGAGCCTGCGTTCAGTCCTTGGGACCCTTTTGACACTGAGAAGTAGCAGCTCTTTCTGCCAGGAGTCATGTTGGAACATCTGAAGGCTTAGCTTGAGGATTCGGGGGCATGGCAATGACTCTGTGGACTCCTCCAGTGCTTTGTTTTGGGGACCCTTTGCGCATCATTTCTTGCGCCGGGTCTGGGAAGAAGCCTGCATTTGCTTCGCCAGTATGCAGTGCTTGTGGTTGTGAGATCAGTCGACGATGTCTCTTGACGTTTGTTTGTTTCGTCTGGTTTTTCTAGTGAGTGTTCTTGTAAGACAATGTAAGACGCATCTCTGTGCACTGCGCACTTCTTCGCAGGGGGGCTTGGAACCAGAGTGGCGGAACATTCCTCCACTGCTTGGAGCATCCATCGATCACTCTATTTTGACAGACATTTGCTTATGGCAAGACATGATCTCCAAACTCCACATTCTCTAGAGGCTCCTTCATGCAGAGAGTGGTACCCAATAAGGCACCTCGTACGTCGAAAGGACGACTTGCGAGGATAAGCTTTTGCTCTTCGTCCAAGAGGTCCTGCAGAAAATCCGCGACTTCGATGGGCCGACCCCAAGTGAGTTTGCGCGAGCACTGGATGCGCTCAAGCGGGAGCAGGCGGGGCACTATCAACAAGTGGGAGCCCCTTGTTTTGCTTGTGCCAGGTGCAATTTGAATTTCAGATAGTTTCAGTGTTTTGATTTCACCAGGGACAAAGCGGCAAAGTGGAGTGGACTCCATTTATCAGTCGTTGTTGACATTGAATGACATTGACCCAAATATCAATCGATAGCATTGTGGTTTGTATCACAAGGTGTTGTATCCATTAAGGTTTGCCGTGTGTTTTTATCAATCGAAGAACACACGATGCGCGTGTGGGTTCCTAGCCTGCAAAGCAGCATGAACAGCAAGTGCATACAGATGCATACAGTCTAGTTTACTGTCTCATGCAAGTCTACTGTACAGGATTCAGAGGTGGTGTAAAAGTTGATACACTGCATGACTTTGTTCCCTTGCCGGGCAGCGCGATGCTACGTGCTGAATGCGCCGGTTTGGCGAATCACCCGCAAACCAATTTTGCACTCAGCCCCCTTTTTCCATCATTTTCCCATGTTTGGTTTGATTCGGCTTCCAGCATATTTCGCGTGTTTCAACGCAGCAACATGATCAGCTTCTTCCACACTTCAACCAAGCAGGCCTCGTTTGACTTCCAACAACCCTACGCTCATGCGGCCTACTTCTCCCGCTTGGCCACCTACATCCCGGAGTACCCTGTGGAGGAGCTGCGTGCAGCCACAAAGCGCGTGACCCTGGAGCAGGTGCGGAACTTCTCGGCCTTGCTACGCGCAAAGGAGCAGAGCTTCTTCGGACAGGCAGAACTTTCGGCTGGAGATGGAGGGAGATTGACTTGTGGAGATGAGATCATCCAAACTTGGTGCATGAATCTAATGACATTGGACGTGCAGGTTTGAGGTTGAGTATTTTCAATGTGTACAGTGTATGGTCGTCCAATATAGAACTCACATTGAAGCTCGAAGGCACCGTCACGAATATATTCGTAAGATTTCGTACGTGTTTTGGATAGCTGCTTGCAAGGAGACCCGAACAAGACCACCAGTTTTGATACCCGCTCTCCTGTGTCAGGCATTGATCATTGGGAATCTGAGCGTGGAAGCTGCTAAGGGCATTTTGGAGACCTTCGATGTGTTGCCCTTTAAAGGCACTCGACGAACATGACGGCCGAGTCCGACGAACACGACGGTCCATGCGAGTAGAACACCTGGCAGCCTGCGAGACGGGACCGTGGGTCGACGTGGGTCGCGGGACGTGTGTCCAAAATCTCACAGTTGTCCCAGTGGGAACCGTGATATACCGTGTGTGTTCTTTACGGGGATGTCTTTGAGGACTAGCTGTCACACTGTGTATTTCAGCATTCTCCACTTCATCAGGCCAACATGAAGACATGCCAGCCACTGAGACCGCGCAGGTGCGCTGAAGGGCGGCACTGCTGAAGGCCTTTTGCGCTCGCGCTTTGCGAAGCTGCAGCCGGGCCAGGACGGCAGGTAGTGGGGAATACCACCCGCCAAGTAGTCAGTGATGATATGTTATGGCATGTTGTGGCCTATGTTTTCCTTTTCAACATAATCCTTTGGTGGTTGGAATCCTGGTAAGCGTCACAAAACATTCAATGGTAAGCGCATCTGGGAGCCAATGTGTATTCGGTTATGACGCGTTGCGCCTTTCTGTTGACTGGAAGAACGAATCAGCTATGACTCAGACGGCTTGTGAGGAGATACTTCAGGTTCAGCCAGAGCCAAATCCAGAGGAAACGAACCATGCGCAGCTCGGATTGAATCGGTTTCAATTCGGCTCAGAATATGCCGGAATGTGCACATGCAAGAAGAAAACAGCACCAACAACACAAACCATGTCCTGGCGCGTTGATTTTCCATTCGAGCTGGAATCAAATGGAATCAATGTGGCATGGTTGAGCCATTTTGTGTCTATACAAGAAAGAGCAGGTGCTTTATAGGTTTTGCTGGTGTAGAAACAAGGATGTTGGCTGGTGTGACTGCTTGTCTCTGTCGCTGTGCACTTACATGACATTTCATTGATATGTCATATCATTTCAAAATAGTTCTTCCGAAGCAAACAACATCCATCTCGAGCCATCTCCCGTCGTGTCGTTCTCCGAGGCTGGTGTCCCTCTTCTGGACCGGCGATGAACTCCTCGACGGCTTGCATAGTAACCTCCTAGACCGAGTGATGAAGGTGCGAGCGATCTAAACAGCTGGGTTTGGGATGGATGGAAGACCTGGCACCCTACTGGAATGAGAGGTCACGACAGACATCGGTCATGCATTGGTCATGCATTCATGTTTCACTGAAAAAAGGTGCTCTTTTGGACCATTTGTGGTGATCGAGCCTACTTAGTCCAAAGTGTACTTAATAGATCTCAATAGGAGTTGCATGGAGTTTCTTTATTGCTGCTTGAGGAGGCTACATGATGCTAGTGGCATTGTGTTTGGAGTGGATCGATCTGCGGAGACTGCCGTCTCCGTCAACGGTCACGGACCGACGGGAGGCTCCCTTCTACGACAGCATAAGGACGCAGCAACAATTGGGTGACTTGGCGTCTTATAGATCGATCCTTTGTCTTTTTTGGAACGGAAACTGATCGCCGAAACTGGCCTCGGCCGACCCTTTTTCTTTGTTTTGTTTTCAGTTCATTGTGCTTGAGCAAATGTTGTCACATATTGTTTTGCCATGGTCTCTGCGAGCGAGTGCCGGTTGCCGCATGTGGCTGCATGGTCCTGAGTGGTGAGAAAGCTGAGAAAGCCATGCATAATCATGCATACATTATACCGTACATAGGTTTGGTCAAGGTATGATTGTATAATTGGAGATCACAATGTTTGCATTTCGTTCCAGTGCAGAAGCGACGAGATGTCAGCAGACTCATAATTTATGTATGTTTATGCTTTTGCGATCCAGGCTACATTGTCCAGTCTCAATCCGACCGCATTGGCAATCTTGCTCGCGTTCTACTTATTGTGCAGAGACCTGTCTCGAAAGGACCAACCCCCCCCACCAGGAGAGTCAAGTTAAAGGTGAAGCATCAAGAAGCAAGCATCAAGTTAAAGGTGAACGCGACGACCAGCCGATATTGAGAAGGAGGTCAAGGTGCTGTCTCGATCGGTTTGACCATGTTTGCATCACTTGACATTTGACGATTGGAGGTTTTTGGATAGGCCGGAGTCGGAGACAAAGCGGGGAATCCGGTTTTTGCCAAGTTCGTTCTCATTCGCCGATCTAAGGAGCAGCGTTCGTGATCCAAGAGGACTTCTGCAAGCCGTGGATGAATTCCTGGTGTCATTCCGGGCCAAGCCACTCTGCCAAGCTGTTTTACATTGTTTTACCATGTTATACCGTAAGAATTGCTTCAGAATGCTTCAGGTTCGTTTTCAAAACCTACTCATGACATCCTTTTTAGACTCCCTCTCAGACTACCAAGTTTGCAGCGGGGCACCTCCCAATAGAATGTGCTCTTGGCCGAGCCCTTCTGATGTACATTGGCATGGTTGGTCATGCCCAAGTGTTCATTGTACCCTTCGCCATCTTCGCCTGCAAATGAGGACATGTCAAATGGCTCCAGGATTTGCAAGGAGACCCAAGACCAAACCTGGAAGGTTGCAATTGCACCCAGTGGATCCAGTTACCACCATAGTAGGTAACCAGTGGCTCCCAAGGCTAAAACCGTAGACCTAGAAACCCTGGTTCCTTATATAGTCATAGTGGTAACTGGGATCCACTGGGGCATGTAGTTGCACAAAGCTGCTTTTGTCAGACCGAGGTTGGCCTCGCTTACAGATGGTCTCCGAGCTGCGTTGGAGAAAAGAACAGGTATTTCTTCTATACTTACTTTTCTTTAAACAAATTATATTGGGTGTGTCGCTCAAATAGGGAGACCCCACACAGACTCCCTGTGGAAGAAGGGCAATTAACCAAACCCTTTGGGCCAGGGGGTCTCCTATTAAAATACACACCCAAATGGTTTACTACAGAATCCTCGCCGGTCAACCTGTAGTACAGTTGTAACGCAATGCTCGTCCAAGGAGTAGAGGGTTCACATTTGTGCAACCGAAGTCTATAAGTCACTAACTTGGATAAAAGCACTTTGCACCTCTGCACTTCTGAAGCCATTCGTCTAGCCAGTAGCCTACCTTGGATGAAAGACATCATGCCATGTTCATGCTGGATGAGCTGCATTTGCCACTATTGTTCTTTCTTCAAACTCCAAGGACAGCTGCAGCCATTCAAGGCGTCGCTGAAAGAGGAGCTGCTGCGTCCTGATCAACGTTTGGCCTCGGAGACGGGCCGCTGGTTCGGAGAAATCGCAGGCCGTCCTCGGTCCGGACGTGGTCCACTGGTGACGCGGTGGAATCCATGTGGGAGTTGGGATTGGCAGTTCAACAAGAGAACACCTGTTTATTCAAGTTAATTCGATTTACTCAGGGTGCCCTTTATACTCAGCTGTTCTGCAGAACTGATGGCAATTACATTAGGTGTGGAGTGCGATGAGGAAGAGAGATCACTTTAGTATTCGGTAGGCCATTTGAGCGAGTTTTGGCATTGCACTTTCTTTTCCAAGGCCGTGTAGGTCCAAGACATAATGGGTGTGCAAAGGAGCATCTAAAATCAGTGGCCTTCCAGCAGTTCCTCTTATCGACAAAACGGTGGTAGTTTCATCCTATTATTTCCTCTTGCAGGCTTTCAATACAACTGGCGTCGACGAGAGGAGGAGGTGCGCTTTTTTCATTTGTTTCAGACAAGGACCTAGTCCGGCCATTGGCATTGACAAAGGCTGAGGTCCCTTAGTCACAAACCCTGAAGCTGCAATGGACTGAGCATCAGGGGATGAAACTCCAGCAGTCTTGTCCACCAGTTTTGAGCATCTCCATCCGCAACTCCTCGCAAGGCTGCTTTGATTGGACAGATTTCCATGAAGGATCTTCTGCAGTTCTATGATGAACGAATAGCAGCAGGAGAGCCACAAAGTCACCAACTATTCTTTTCATTCCACGGCTTCCTAAAAGGACTATATGCTAAGATCCACCTATCTGCGAGACTCCTTTCCTCGACAAACAAGGTTTCAAGTCCAGGTTTGTGAGGATGTGAGGCGCATGTTACCGCATGTTGCTTCCGCAACATGTTGTGAAAACGACCATGCTGTTTATGGTGTGTTCTTTGCCATGTTAAGCATGCTGTCAAAGAATAATTGGTGTTAACATAGATCCTCTTTTTCTGGCTAGATAGTGACCTATAGGGGTTTCTTGTTTCCAAAACTGAAATCACTGGTGAGTCACATTCAAAGCTGTGAGTTTGCTCAGAAGCGACGGGTAGTGCTGACAGTTGGGTCTTTGGGGGGGCAACATGACAGGGAGTTCCCCTTGGAGTTCCCCTGCTGATTGGATCTAGAAAAGGACATGCCAACTAGTAATGGGACTTACATGGCAATGGTGTGTTTTTCTTTTGTTGGGGGAACCTGGGGACTCGTATGAAGGTTGATGAACGTGAGAAAAGGAAAGAACGTGTTCATTCCAAGAGATTCCAAGAGTAGGGTAGGGCAATTAATCCTAGGTAACCCGTTGCAAGAGTTAATTTGATCAAGCTTTGGTCAAAGCGTGGGATTGGACAACAACAGAACACTTGGCACATGCGTTCATTCTGATATTTCAATCCCTCCCTTGGCACAGGAGGCTCGCTGAGACGGAGAGCCAACACAGCAGTCGGAGGCCCAGCCAACGGAAGCAATGCAACCAAGCTGGGCTCGACCAAACAACAACCAACGGATCTGATAAAACCAAGCTGGGCCGGGGCCGAGCAAACACGCCAGATTTCAAAATTCACGTTTTGCTCAAAAACGACGACACACTCACCAAAAACAATGTAACATGACGAACATGAACAATGATAATACACTCACCAAATCCTGATGACCTGCATCACCGTAACAATTTTTGACCATTGACTCATATGACATGATCACTGTATACCAGTTTGGCCATTCAAATCGATGTGATATTTGGTCCTCATCCAAGCGCAACTGAGGTCTTTGCAAATTCTCCAAAGCGAGCCGAAGCCATGAGAGCCATGAAGGAAGCATATCCAGATGCCCAGGCGATGACGGTTTCGGCCGATGGGCAGTATCTATGAGAAATGCCGACATGACAGACCATCATGGAAACGGATTAGCAGCGCCATGAGAGGAACGTTATATTCATTTGCGGAATCGATATGTTCATGTATTTTGCTATTGACATATTTCAAAAATCAGATGTTCCACGTTTATTTTGGTGTTTCCTGGGCGGCCACTGAAAACACAGATGGAGATGTACATCCTGTGGACCAAACAGTTTTGACCGGGTTTGTTTGTACGTCAGGTTTACGGCTTGGGTCTCTGCCAATCCGTGGCATGGTCAATTTCGGCCCCTGGCACCATCGGTCCGCTCAGCTCCGCCCGTCTGGTGCCGTGAGGTTGTCGAGGATCCCGTGAAGTTCGGAGAGGCCGCCCCCAAGTGGCCAATCCGAAACTTGGAGAAAAGCAGTGAGTCGTCTCATGGGCTCCAAGACAACCTCAGGGAAGATAGATGAAGGGCACCTAAAGACGGGCATCCACCTAAAGCCAGGAAAGCATCTAAGCACACAGGTCAGGGGTTTGGCGCTTTCGATGTGTTTTCATGCGTGAGAGCTCGTGCCTTGCATGCAAATCTGTCAGGCCAATGCTTGATGTGAGCTTGTGCTACTAATGTAGACTCTGGATTAGTAAAAAACAGATGAAGAGGTGTTTCAAGCCAAAAGGCGGGGGGTATTAATCAAGCGCCGACGTTTAACTCTGAGTGTCCCAAGGTGATCAAGAGCTGACCATGAACGTAGCACGTGACTGGGTTGGCCACAGCTAGATCCGCCAGGCGCGATCCAACTCTGATCGTGGAAGGTTCTTCTGTTCAAATCGTTCCAACAGCTACTCAGCTACTCAAAGCATCTGCATAAGCATTGGCTTTAGCATGGTTTTTTTTGATGCCTTTCTTCTCAATCATGCGGTTGTAGCGAATTCCACTGCAGGATTGTTGGTGGGATTTTCAGCTGCGTGCTCCAATGGTGGAGGTTGATCGTGGAACAAAACAGCCGTGTGCCTTTGGAGTGAAGGCATCCTTGCGTCGCTTGCGTTTGACTGAACACGATGCAAATGGGAGTGCACAGCCAGAAGGAAACGACATGCCATACAGACCCGCAAGTCTTGTGTAGCCGCAAGCCTGCATCTTCTGCCTTGGAAGTGAGAGGCATATGCAGAGCAGTCCAATGCACTAGATTGCCGATTGCTACACAATTAGGAGCCTCCACACGACTCCTCTTTGGAAGCAGCAAGGGACAAGGAACATATTGGTTATGGCCCCTCACATGGAGCAGTGCCGCTGTTCTCGGTGCAGCTGGGCAGCTGCAGCACAGGCGCGATCAAGGAACACGTTTGGCCCACTTGGAAATGAGTTCTTCGGTTCTATCGTGCAAGATGGTGATGCCTTAAAAATAAAGCTAGCAGCTAGTAACAAGGGCATAGCTATTAGTAGCAAGAAGCTACTAGTAGCTCCTGGCATTACTACTAGGAACAAGAAGCTACTAGTAACAAGACAGCTATGACCTTTAGTTCAATCGTGCAAGATGGTGATGCCTTATTAGGTAATAATTCCCCACCTGCCAGGTGAGGGTTGTTAGATTTTATCACAGTTGTTCTTCCTCCTTCCTCCTTCCTTCCTTCCTTCCTTCCTTCCTTCCTTCCTTCCTTCCTTCCTTCCTGCTTCCTTCCTCGCCAATCTTCATCGCCTCGCCAATCTTCATCGCCAATCTTCATCGCCAATCTGCTTCGCCAATCTGCTTCGCCGACCTTGTCTGGCCAGCTCCGGATCGCAGTGTGCACCCCTGGACCTCAACCGCAAGGATCCGATCGCAGTGTGCATCCCTGGACCTCAACCGCAAGGATTCGATTGCAGTGTGCACCCCTGGACCTCAACGGCAAGGATCCGATCGCGGTGTGCACCGCTGGACCTCAACCATAAGCACACAACCACAAACAAACAACCACAAACACCACCACAAACACAACCGCAAACACAACAACAAACACAAACACAACCACAAGCACACAACCACACAACCACAAACACACAACCACAAAGACACAACAACAGACACACAACCACAAACACACAACCACAAACACACAACCACAAACACA